TTGTAGGACACTCTTGTGGGACACTCTTACGGGACACTCTTGTGGGACACTCTTGTGGGACACTCTTGTGGGACACTCTTGTGGGACACTCTTGTAGGAAACTCTTGTGGGAGACTCTTGTGGGACACTCTTGTGGGACACTCTTGTCGGACACTCTAGTAGGAAACTCTTGTGGGAGACTCTTGTGGGACACTCCTGTGGGAGACTCCTGTAGGACACTCTTGTGGGACACTGTTGCGGGACACTCTTGTGGGACACTCCTGTGGGACACTCATTTGGGACACTCTTGTGGGACACTCTTGTGGGACAGTCTTGTAGGACACTCTTGTGGGACACTCTTGTGGGATACTCTTGTGGGACACTCTTGTAGGACACTCTTGTGGGACACTCCTGTATGACACTCTTGTGGGACACTCTTGTGGCACACTCTTGTGGGACACTCTTGTAGGAAACTCTTGTGGGACACTCTTGTAGGACACTCCTGTATGACACTCTTATAGGACACTCTTGTGGGACACTCTTAAAGGACACTCTTGTGAAACACTCTTGTGGGACACTGTTGCGGGACACTCTTGTGGGACACTCTTGTGCGACACTCTTGTGGGACACTCTTGTGGGACACTCTAGAAGGAAACTCTTGTGGGAGACTCTTGTCGGACACTCTTGTAGGACACTCTTGTGGGACACTCTTGTAGGGCACACTCCTCGTACGAGACTTCCTCCAAAAGTCATGCTGCGAGGCTGCAAGACGAGCGTTTCGTATGAGACTTCCTCCAAAAGTCACGCGCCAAGTCTCAGCATTTCGTATGAGACTTCCTCCAAAAGTCACAGGTCAAGTCTCCAAAACGAGCGTTTCGTACGAGACTTCCTCAAAAACTCACACGTCAAGTCTCCAAAACGAGCGTTTCGTACGAGACTTCCTCAAAAAGTCACACGTCAAGTCTCCAAAACGAGCGTTTCGTACGAGACTTCCTCAACAACTCACACGTCAAAGTCTGCAAAACGAGCGTTTCGTACGAGACTTCCTCCAAAAGTCAAGCGGAACCCCCCATCGGAGCACACACATCACGCAGGCCTGCCAAGCAGTTTCGCGATTCCAGCCCCTCCAAACAACATCCGCTCACACGCCAATCCCAATGTGACAGCGACATTCACCTCTACCACAACTCACAACCTCACAATTCCCTGCACCTGCCACGAATCTTGCCGCGTCCACACGTTTAACGCGCACAAAGTACTGCGCCTACCACGAAATGTCACCTCCGTCACACCTCGCAACCTGCGACACTCTTGTGGGACACTCTTGTGGGACACTCTAGTAGGAAACTCTTGTGGGAGACTCTTGTGGGACACTCTTGTGGGACACTCTTGTCGGACTTTAGTAGGAAACTCTTGTGGGAGACTCTTGTAGGACACTCTTGTGGGAGACTTGTGTAGGACAGTCTTGTGGGACACTGTTGCGGGACACTCTTGTGGGACACTCCTGTGGGACACTCATTTCGGACACTCTTGTGGGACACTCTTGTGGGACAGTCTTGTAGGACACTCTTGTGGGACACTCTTGTGGGATACTCTTGTGGGACACTCTTGTAGGACACTCTTGTGGGACACTCCTGTATGACACTCTTACAGGACACTCTTGTGGGACACTCTTAAAGGACACTCTTGTGAAACACTCTTGTGGGACACTGTTGCGGGACACTCCTGTGGGACACTCTTGTGGGACACTCTTGTGGGACACTCTTGTGGGACACTCTTGTGGGATACTCTTGTAGGAGACTCTTGTCGGACACTCTTGTAGGACACTCTTGTGGGACACTCTTGTAGGGCACACTCCTCCTACGAGACTTCCTCCAAAAGTCACGCTGCGAGGCTGCAAGACGAGCGTTTCGTATGAGACTTCCTCCAAAAGTCACGCGCCAAGTCTCAAAAACGAGCATTTCGTATGAGACTTCCTCCAAAAGTCACACGTCAAGTCTCCAAAACGAGCGTTTCGTACGAGACTTCCTCAAAAACTCACACGTCAAGTCTCCAAAACGAGCGTTTCGTACAAGACTTCCTCAAAAAGTCACACGTCAAGTCTCCAAAACTACTGGAGCTGCTGCCTCAGCAAAGCCTTCGAAGGCACCTCCAGCTAAGAAGCGACCAATTGCTCCACCGCCACCGTGGAGGCAGCCGCAGCCACCAATTGACCGGTCTCCCTATGGTCCACAGCAGCCCCTCTTCCAGTAGCAGTGTGGCACCTCCTCTTCCTGGAGCAAGTGCAAGTATCAGTGAGCGTTTCGTACGAGACTTCCTCAAAAACTCACACGTCAAAGTCTGCAAAACGAGCGTTTCGTACGAGACTTCCTCCAAAAGTCAAGCGGAACCCCCCATCGGAGCACACACATCACGCAGGCCTGCCAAGCAGTTTCGCGATTCCAGCCCCTCCAAACAACATCCGCTCACACGCCAATCCCAATGTGACAGCGACATTCACCTCTACCACAACTCACAACCTCACAATTCCCTGCGCCTGCCACGAATCTTGCCGCGTCCACACGTTTAACGCGCACAAAGTACTGCGCCTGCCACGAAATGTCACCTCCGTCACACCTCGCAACCTCACGATTCCCTGCGCCTGCCACGAGAATCGCACTTCCACTCCTCAAAACCCGCACAAAGTCCTGCGCCTGCCACGAAAAGTGACAATATCATCTCATGTGAGCTTCAACAAAATTTGCACCACACCACACGTTTGGAATGATTTCGACCCGTTCTGAGCACACTCCCATCCACCAAAATCGCCATTTCAGTTGAGACTTGTCACGAAAACCCCACACCCTGAAACGCAAATCCCAATGGCACGGCCACATCCAACACCCCAAAAACACGACTCTCCAAACGCTAATCCCAATGGAACTGCGCAGCAATCTGCGGATCTCACAAAACGCTGCGCCTGTGCAGCGAAATGCATCACGTTTCTTGCGCGACATGTCATGGTCATGCAAATCACAATGGAATAGCGGCGCAAACTGACACGTGACACATCCATGCAAAGTCACCTTCAAACGCTTCCCCCAATGGCAGTGAATTTGAGACGCGACGACGACAAGAGACGACGAGAGACGACGAGAGGACGCAAGCCACGCGAACACAGCTCCAACCCCCAGACCCCCAACTATAAACGGGAACCCTTCGCTACGCATTCGGGAATAAAGAAAACAATACACACAGATAGTTTAATTAGATTAGTTAGACTAATTCGATTAATTAGATATATTAGATAGATAGATAGATAGATATATAGATAGATAGATAGTTTTCAGTTTTCAGTTTCGAACGCTCTCATGTCGTCATGAGACTGCGGGGCGCGAGACTTGTGTCTCGGCTGATCGAAGAGATCAGGCAAGCACCGAGGTGCACTAGGCCATCTGGCCAAACTCATCCAAAAAAGAAGACCTGCCATTTGCAAAAGCCACTTTGGCGCAAAGGGAAGAAAACTTATCCGGCAGGCGTCGCAGTGAGCGGTGCTGCACACCCATCAAAACTGCCAAGCGTTCAGGATTTTTTCGACTAAACACTTGTGTTTACATGTCAGCCAAAACAGGGAGCTACTGCATCAACTGGGTTCAACATCCAAAGGGAGAACACCAGGGCTGTGGCATCCAAGACAACACACGATCAGGCCAGCTGACTTAGGAGCTCTATCACCTTAGGTGAGGGCTCACATTTCAATCCTTTTTGATTGCCAGTCAACTTGCCAACTTGATTTCTACTCATCTTCCTCACGGCATCCCGGGGTGAAGCAGGGGCTCAT